GGGTTTAGGGTTTTGATGATGACGATCAGTGATGATGAGGAGGATAATGTCGATAACGGTGATGGCGGTGATAACGGTGGAGATGACGACGATGATGCTGAACCTGCCTCATGGCGATGGTCAGGGTGACCACTTCGATTGCCAAGAGAAGCTCCCGTCTGGGTTTAGGGTTTACCCATACGCCCCAAAGTAGTTCCTTTTTGGGATTACCTTATAGGGTTCGAAATATGAAACCCAAAAAGGAACTACTATGGGGCCTATGGGTAGGGTCTAGGACCAGCAAACGAAACTCCAGCAAAAAACCCCGTGAACTGATTTCAACATCACATCTTCGTCTAGAGAATGACCCTAAACTCTGAACCCAACCCTGTCTGATTGCATGACTGGATGAATGAATGATTGAATGAAGGAATGAAGGAAGGAATGGAGGAATGAATGAATGAAACCCGGCACATGTCAGGCCCCTGCTCCATACAGCATGGAGAATTTCTTAACGTTTGAAAGTAGGTCGAATTTGGCTGCTATAGGAAAGAAGGTTGAAGTCATTTTTGACCCTACTTCAGACCCGACTAAAGAAGTCCCCAGGCCCATATCCAAAACTGATTTCCTCGACTCTAATCCCCGGAAGCCCTAAACCCTAGACCCTAAACCCTAAACCCATCCCCGGGACGACTCCCTGGCCACTGAAAAGTGGAGGCACTTGCAGGTGGGATCTCCGCCCAGATGAACTCTGCGAAGATAAACTCCGAGACAAGGCCTTTTTGAGGTTTATGGTTTACGGTTAAGGGGTTTAGGGTTTAGCAATTTAGGGATTGGGTTTTGTGTGAATGCCCTGCACACTGTGACTCCGCGTTTGGTGCTGAATTAGGGATTTAGGGGTCAGGGTGTTAGGTTTGTGAGTTTCTGGGCTCAGGGGGTTAGGTGTTAGGGACTTAAGTCTTAGGGCTTTTCATTGATTTTTGCAAAACGCCGTTCCAATCTGCACGACAATGGAATCCCGGCTTAGCGAGTCCATCCTCGTGCGGATTGGAAAAAGGGCTTAGGATTTGGGGTTCAACGGTGTGGGGACCATGGCGCCTCTAGACAATAACGGTAGTAAGTGAGCAACAGCAGCTATCCGAACCCCTTCATGAAACACTCGTGGTAGTGTTGGCTTTGTGCAGTTTAGTTATGCCCCTAAACCCTAAACCCTAAACCCTAAACCCTAAACCCTAAACCCCTAAACCCTAAACCCTAAACCCTTCTTGCTCTTAACAAGCTCTCGTCCCCCTAAACCCTAAACCTCTGCGCCCATCCTGTCTCCTCAAGCGGGGGACAGTGCAGTCAGCCGTGTACTGGTTGCTCTTTGGCAGCTAAGACCCAGTGCCGCAGCTTTTCGGATACAGGAAGTCCAAAATCGCAATAGTCAAGGGATGATAAAGGGTTAAGGGTTTAGGGTTTGGGAACTATCTCATAAACCCCTCGTTGTCGAGTTCCTTGGCGTGCTTTGCAGTTAGTTTAAAGTTTAGGGTTTAGGGTTTAGGGTTTAGGGTAGTAATGGTGGGAAGACAGCCATGCTCCTGTCTGAAAGATTGATGGCTACGTGTTCAATTCAAGCTCAACCCTGCTTCCGGAACTGCCGGTTTGAGTTACCTGGCTCCTATGAGCCCGCCACCTTGCGGCTTTAGGGTTTAAGGCTTACGGTTTGGGAGGACTTGCGATCTATGAGACCGTCTTAAAGCGCAGGCACCACGAGCCAGGCAAAGTAGCGAACCCTGACAATCCGACAATCCCTAATGGAGGGGCCTAAATATTTGTTAATAAGGTTTTGGGGCCATTAAACCATAAATATACTCGGGAACCTCAAAACAGTAGTGGTAATTATTTAGGCCCCTACATTACACCTAAACCCCAGAAGCAAATCCCGCAACCCGCAAAAACGGGCCAAACCCACAAGAAGCTGTCCCTAAACCCTAAACCCTAAACCCTAAACCCTAAACCCTAAACCCTAAACCGTTGCTCGGTTTCGGGGCTAGGGTCCCGGAACATTGCAAAATCCTCAAGCCCTGAAAGGCACAGAACCCCCCAAACCCTTAAGCCTGCCGGGCCGAATGTGTAGAATATAACAGGTAGAGGTAGAATAGGGACAACCCCAATTCAAGTAGTTGTAGATCCAGCTTGACCATTAAAGTATAATCCGACAATCTACTTTCAAAAAGGTATAATCCCTCAATCCCAAACTACCTTTAAGAAGCATAATCCCAAGCCCCAAACTACCAGAAAACCCCTCCCTGAAGCGCAACGCTAAACCCTAAACCCTAAACCCTAACCCTAAACCCTAAACCCAAAACCCTAAACCCTAAACCCAAAACCCTAAACCCTAAAACCCTAAAACGCTGGGACCCAGACAGTCCCTTGCAAGGGCTTGCGCTTCCTGTGAGCCACGGCTTACGTTGGCTTCGAAGGCTCAGAGGCTTAGGGGGAGTTTGGGTTTTAGGGTTTAGGGTTTGGGGGTTTAGGGTTTAGGGGTCTAGGGATTTAGGGGTTTAGGAGTTAGGGTTCAGGGTTTAGGGTTTGGGGGTTTAGGGTTGCGGGGTTTAGGGTTTAAGGTCTAGGGTTTGGAGGTTTAGGGTTTAGGGGTTTAGGGTTTAGGGGTTTAGGGTTTAGGGTTTGGAGGTTTAGGGGTTTAGGATTTAGGGTTTAGGGTTCTTAACCAAACCCCAAATCCTAAACCCCCCAATCATCGCTTTCAGTTGTGCGTAGCTGTATTGAAGCTTCTATGGATTCTACGGGCTCTTGATGGGTCTATGCATCTGCTTCGGGTCGGTTCGAGAAAGTTTAAACAGAGCCAGTCATCCTGGAGATCCATGGTCCAACTTTATGAAGCATGCTCTACCTAAACCTCCTGAAGCCAGAAACCCTGAAAAGTCCCTTAAACCTTTCACCGTTGAGCTTAAGTTTGAAACCTTTTAGGCGGAGCTCGGGTCATGTAGGGGCCGTAATAAATAGAATAGGTTTTGAGGTATAGTATACGAAAAATCTGTGAACAAGGAACCCCAAAAACAGCTTTAGCAATTATTTACGCCCCTATATTACATCCCCTGATAGAAGCCCCACAAAATCATTCCTAGCAGACAATCATAAGTTAAAGCCTGAGCAAAGTTACATAGTCCTATATGGAGCTGCTTGCAGGGAGAAACCGACACTTTGCAAAGTTCCGATGGCCAGCCCTGGCAAATCCCAGTGAACCCCGACTGAATTCAAAAAGCCGCAGATCAATTCCGCGTGACAGCCCCTCATGAAACCCAACAGCTCAAACCACCAAAAACTTCGAAGACCAATCGCAGAACCCGTTCAAAACAAACACATGTATCCTACAAGACGAAATCCCCCGCACAAGTCCTAAACCGAAAGCCTCTCAACCCCTAAACCCTAAACCCTCCAGCCTAAACCCCTAAACCCTAAACCCTAAATCCTAAACTCTAAGCCATAAACCCCTAAACCCTAAACCCCTAAACCCTGAACTCTAAACCCTAAATCCTAAACCCCCAAACCCTAAACCCTCAACCCTAAACCCTCAACCCTGAACCCTCAACCCTAAACCTTCTAGCCCGCCTGCGGCATACGGACGAAGGAAGGCAAGACCTGCAAACCCCAAGGCGCACACCGGGAAGATGAGTTTAGGATGGGGGTTTGGGGGTTGGGGTTTAGGGTTTGGGGATTTAGGGTTTATGGTTTGGGGGTTTAGGGCTTTGGGTTTAGGGGTTTAGGGGTTTAGGGTTTGGGGGTTTAGGGCTTAGGGTTTAGGGTTTGGGGGTTAGGGTTCAGGGTTTGGGGNNTTAGTGTTTAGGGTTTAGGGTAGGGCCATGTTTAGGCTTCTGAAATAGAACACAATATACAATGTTACCAAAATATACCATTTCCGGCTTGGGTGTGAGGTTTAGGGTTAGGGTCCTTAGGGTTTAGTATTTCGCTCGAAGTATTCATTTAAGCTCTAAGCAAGTTGTGGATGGTCCATCTAACCCCCAAACTCCAAGGCTAAACCGGCATATAGCTTCAATTATGTAGCGGTGTTTAGGGGTTTAGGTTTAGGGGT